CAGAGTGACTCTGAGGTTGGTCTTGGCTACATAAGATGCTGTCTCAAAAACCAAACACAACTAGAGTATGGAGAAGCTTCTGAGGGAGGGGTGAGCAGGTTGCACTGAAGTGACTTTTTTGGGAGGGATCTTAAAGGATTATGGAATTCTGTTAAGGAGAAGAAAACACTTGTTGGGGTGGATTGGTGGCACTGAAGATTCGGGCAGCAGAAAGAACTGAGGATTGTAGGCCACTTGGCTTATCAGGAAAGCTCAGATAGGAGCAGCTGTGAGGCTGGGATCCAGCAGTGTGGAATCGTTGGAAAACGGCTTTCTAAGAGACATTTGGTCCTGAGTTGACATGAAGCTCTGGGGCTGTATATCAGTAGATCCCGTGGCTGGCAGGTGCAAGGCCCTAGGTTTGTCCCCAGGCATTATCCCTGCTTAAATCTCTTTAGAATAGTTCATTTGGTTTAAACAGATGCAAATACCAAACCCCTTCAGCATGAACCTGCTTTTTTCATTACTTCTTGAGAACTAGCCGGTTGATCTCTGTCTCTCTTCCCTAGGGAGGTGAAATGCTAAGTGTTCTTGAGTTTGAAGAGATTCAAATGTGAATGTGTCTATGGAGAAACCTTCTGTTGTCAAGCTGGTCTCAGGCCCGGAGGGCTCATTACAAGTTTGTTCTGTAGAGGCTGTCTGATGGAGCCCAGGCCTCCCTGGCTAGGTACCTCTTGAGTTTTTCAGCTCTGACCACTAAATATGTCATGGCTCACTGGAGTTCACAGAGGTACCACTCAATGGGCCCCTGGATCCATCTCCCACTGTGCTGCCTTTGAACAAGGGCCAGAAGCCAGCCTGACAGACATGGCTAGTAACTATGTCCAAGGAGCAGTGTGTTTATTTCCTCAGAATCGCTGGCTTTGTGCCTGAGGCCTTGCTGAGGCAGCATGGTGTCGTCTGGTGTACACCTCATTGCCAAGGCCTCATGCAAGGTCACAGGTGTCCCCTGGAAGATGCTGACTTTGATGTCTCCGCTGTCTAAAACTTCGTGCCATGAATACATATTTACTGGCCTCTCCCTTCCATGTCAGGAGTAGGAACAGAGCTACAAATAAAGCAGGCACGAGCCCAGGCTCTGGAATACCCTACCTTGTGAGAGACAAGACAGAGTCTTTTTTTTATCCCATTAATTTACTTATTTAGTGTGTAGGGTGGGTGGACGTGCGGGTGGGTGTCACTGTGCATGTGTAGAGGTCAGAGGACAAGTGGGAAGAGTCAGTTCTCTCCTTCCACCCCTTGTTTCCCTGGGATAGAACTCAGGTCAACAGGCTTGGAGTTGACTCGCCTCTCTGTTTTGTGTTCTTAGACAGGGTCCTACTATGCAGCTCTGGCTGGCTTGAGAGACACTCTGTAAACCAGGCTGACCTCCAACTTGCAGTAATCTTCCTGTCTTTGTCTCTTAAGTACTAGAATTACAACATTACGCACTGTGTCCAGCAACAGCATCATTCCCAGCAACAGCACCACACCCAACATCAGCACCATGCCCAGCATCAGCACCACAC